CTCATGTTGATTTATCACCATCCATGCCACAACCCACTCAAGCAAGCCCCGGGTTTTTTGAGTGGCTTGGGCCCACCTAGGCTTGTGGCGTGATTAGGTGCGGAATGATAATTCATTGCTTAGCGTGGCGTGTCGTTTGGCGTGGCATGTGTGCAAAGCGTATATGACGAACTTTCGCATGCCTAAATCGGGTTTCTTCTTGATAAGGTATCATATTGGGCCAATAATTTATTTGGGCCGAAGCGTGAATTTTTTGGGCCTCAACACCCATTTCATGAAGTCTTTCTCCTCCTAATGGCTCCCTATAATTTGATGGTGCTTTGTTTTATGCATATTTTACACTTTTAATTAATGCTAACTATTTTTTAGATTATTTTTTTAGGATCTCATTTTCCTACCCCGCTTTTGTCCACTATACGCCCTTATATAAAGAGCTCCTAAAATAGCTTTTGTGTGTTTTTAATTAAATTTTAACTAAAAAAAATAAAGAACATGATTGTAGATACTCTTAATTGCATTCTAACATTCTAATGAGAGTTCAATTTGGATTAAAGACCTTCTTGTCATAATACAAACATATTTAGATCTTTCGCAAGTGTCGTCTCATCAAGCAAATTAGAATTGGAAACTATGTAGTTTTTTTTTTTTGGCATTCAAATAAGGAAATATTTTTTCTCACTACTTTAACTCAAGGTGTACCCTTATCACCATTTCCAACAGCACCTCACACGTGTCCATGAATAACCATAATTAATTTCTTAGTTTGTATTTATAGAACTATGGTTAGGCCCATGGACATATGTCAAGTGTTGAGAAGTCGTGATGGTACACTTTATGTTAAAGTGGTGAGCAAAAATGCTCATGTTAAACAAATAGATGAACAAAACATTCCTAAAGCCGTTTTCACTTTGAGGGGAAATGAAGCCATTGTTCTTCCTCCCATCTCCCCTTTTCTCTTCCTCCATTCACCTCTTCCCCCATTTTCAAAGACAAATGGTTTTCCCTATTTGTCTTCGTTTTGTTATGAATTTTATCCAACTATCACAAGCGACTGCGTCTCGGCGTCAGATCTCCACCTGCGTTTTAGTGTCAGATCTCCACTACCATCCTTTTTGTGATTTCTTTATGTTTGGAATATGTTGCAGAGATTCTTTGGGTTCTCTGTGTACTTTTCACCTCTCCTTTTGTGAGAGCTTTTCACATATTTTTTACGAGAGCTTTTCATCTTTCCTTTGTGAAAGTTTTATTTGTATTGTTATGACTTGGGTTTTTCAAGCTTTATCTTTTTTAAAAAAAATTCTAAGTTTGCAATCTTAGTTGGAATGCCTATGCCAAAGTTTCTTCGATCCTGCGTGATCGTGAGTGGAGGCATACTAGATTGTTTTAATTTTGATCTTGGACCGATCCATTATTATAATGGCCCTTTTTTGGCTAGTTTGTATTGGCCATTTGTGACTAGTGGTTTCTTTGGCTGAATTATAAATGCAATCATAAAATTTTTAATTATATATAAAAAAAAAATAGATGAACTCTATATTTCATTATATTGAAGTGATTATGGTACTAATCAACCGTTCACATGACTTACAATTTCACTAAAGATTATTATTCAAGGGTGCCTAGGAAATGCAATATGACAACAAAGATTGGTTATTAAATAAAAGATCCTTTTATAATTCCATATACATCGAGGTTTTGCGTTCAATTCCCTTTTCTCAATATCAATAATTCCATATACATCGAGGTTTTGCGTTCAATTCCCTTCTCTCAATATCAATGATGTAAAATACCTATGATGTAAAAAATATTTCACATTTTTTCGTTTGAAAATAAATATTCGTGTCAACAAATATCCAAGTTTTTCTTTATTTCCTTACATGGAGAGAAAAAAAAAGCCAGTCTAATGGGGACCTTTGTTTTAGGTATTCTTGTCAAAATGGCATTCAAATGCAAATTCAACACAAAATCGTTCAAAAATGGTAGTGGATGGCATTTCTTCAAAACAAAGTCATCCCCATCTAATTTCTCTCTCTCTCTCTCTCTCTCAAACATTATTACCCAGTTACAAACACACTCTTTTCATGACGATTAGGAATTCCCTTTCATCTTTAAACCAACCCAAAGAATACCAAAACGAAATAGCTAACGAATTCAGCTCAAATGGGCTTTAAAGCCATCGCGTGTGATATGAGAAAAACGTACGTCGGCAGATTCAC